CTTCTCCCCCTCCTCCTTGTCCACCACCTTCTCCCTTCTCCCCTTCCTCTTTCTCCACCAGCTTCTCCCTTCTCCCCTTCCTCATTCTCCACCAGCTTCTCCCCCTCCTCCACCAGCTTCTCCCCCTCCTCTTTCTTCACCAGCATCTCCCTTCTCCCCTTCCTTATTGTTCACTAGCTTCTCCCCTCCTCCTTCTCCACCAGCTTCTCCTTTCTCCCCTTTCCTCCTTCTCCACCAGCTTCTCCTTTCTCCCCTTTCCTCCTTCTCCACCAGCTTCTCCTTTCTCCTCCTCCTCCTCCACCAGCTTCTCCCTTCTCCCCCTCCTCCTCCACCAGCTTCTCCCTTCTCCCCCTCCTCCTCCACCAGCTCCCTTCTCCCCCTCCTCCCTTTCTTCCTTCTCCATCAGCTTCTCCCCCTCCTCCTTCTCCACCACCTTCTCCCTTCTCCCCTTCCTCTTTCTCCACCACCTCTCCCTTCTCCCCTTCCCCTCCACCAGCTTCTCCCCTTCCTTCATCTCCACCAGCTTCTGCCCCTCCTCCTCCACCAGCTTCTCCCTTCTCCCCCTCCTTCTCCTTCCAGCTCCCTTCTCCTCTTTCCTCCTTCTCCACCAGCTTACTCCACCTCCTCATTCTTCACTAGCTTCTCCCTACTCCACCTACTAGTACTACTCATAAACTTCCGTCCTCCCTCCCCCTCCCTTTCCCCTCCCTACTGTACCCTGCTCCTTCGCTACCTGTACCAGAACTACGCAGAGTTACTGACGATGCTTCCACTGATACGCCCGAAACGCCGATAGAACCGCGTAGCGCCTATCTGGCGGTTGGCGTTTGCAAGTTAGTTTCCGACGCTAAACCTAATGTTTACCTATATATATATATATATATATATAATATATATATATATATAAACATATATACTATATATGTTTATATATATTTCATATATAAGTTATAACATTATATATGTATATCAAGAGCTAATAAGAACTTATAGTATTTATTAGCTCTTGATGTATATAGTAGATCTATATTTATCGTAAATGGGGCGAGCTAGAGAAGCAAGCACAAGGGTAGACTGTAGCAGGCAATTGTATTATAGGAGTCCACAGGAGCAAATAAGAGGGTAAATTCCATAATCTCATAAATATTAGGCTACAAAGCCCAAGAGCTAGGCTATATCGAAAACGGAAAAAGACAAAGTTGATCAAATAGACAGATCAATACTGCGAATTGCAGTAGAAAAGTCTCAAATTTGCAATTAACTAACGAGAAAGGGAGAGCATATCAATACGTAATGACAGAAACAAAGAAGCTGAACATAAATGGATCCTTTGAAGATGACACGTGTCAAAAAACAATGATCACGCTCAAATGATCAAGTGCTACGAACAGGCTTCATCAAGCTAAAGGGAATGCCAATCTTCACCTGACCATGATAAATTTTATGGAAGGTTATAAATTTAGCATGAAGAAAGTGGACACAAAGAGGAGGCCATTATGATTATTGACCATTATGCGCAATACACACATGTGCATGCTCACTTACATGTATGCACACATTTATCCGAATTCGCACGTATAAACGCGGACACACGGGTACACGCTCGAGTACGTACTATACTGGTTATGCATGCGCAAAGTAGACAGAAGCCTGCATTTATTTGCACTTTTGATCATCTCGTAGTTGATCATAGGACAATATATGACGAAACACGACGGCAAGTTTCAGACTAGACTGGTACCCGGTCCCACCTCTCGGCTTAGTTACTCGATGGAAGGGTAACTAAGCCCATCGAGTAACTAAGCCGAGAGGTGGACCGGGTACCAGTCTAGTTTCAGACCCATGTATGCACTAAAAATGTTGTCGTAGGTTTTTACATGTACAGAAAAATCATCCCTCTATCCTCCTGATTATTTTTCCCAACCTCCTGCGACTAATATAATTTTTTGTAAAATCGTATTCTGCCGAGTTACTTATATTTCCTCCAATAATGTGTGTGGGAGTTCTATCACTCCAACATTGAAGAGCCACCCTTGTAATCTACAGCTGACCATGCAGGATAATTAAAACAGTCTATAAAGGGAAGGGGGCTATAAGTGACTTAAAAAATACAAGAGGAATCTTCCTTACAAATATGATAAGTAAAATAATTGAGAAACTAATCTGGCAACGGAAACAGAAAATTATGGACACTTGCCAAAACCAAAGTGGGGGGAAGAAGGGATTTAGCACAACGGACCATTTATTTGTACTAAGAGGCATAATTGATAAACACAGGGAACAAAAGAAAAATATCACATTATTATTCGGGGATATCCAAAAATGTTTTGATTGTCTATGGTTAAAAGACGCAATGGTAGAATTATGGTATAGAGGACTGAAGGGACCATGCTGGGAACTAATTTTTAAAATGAACGAAAAAGCAATAATCAATTTAGATACACCAGTAGGAAAAACGGATAATTTCATAACAAAAGAAATAGTTAAACAAGGAACTATATTAGGACCAGTACTATGCTGCATGACTTTGGACTGTTTAAATTTTCTAAATAATGTGAAATACATGTATAGTGACACAATAGAAATCGGACCGTTACTTTATATGGATGATATTTTAGGAATAGGAGATCACAAAACAATTACAAAAATTGCTCAGGCATGTCACAGATTAGCACAATCAAAAAGATTAGAATTTAATTTAAACAAAACAAATACAATGGTCATGAAATTCTCAAATAAAGAAAGGATAGAGAAAGATATATTATTAGGAAATCAGGTAAATCAAAAGCACTAAATATACATATCTAGGCGATCTATTTAATGACAAAGGGGGGTATAAGGACATGATAAAGGCACGATCGCGATAAATGTAGATTCATGATGAGAGAAATAGTTTCAGGCACGGAGGAGCAAAATTATGTGTAACCATACCATAGAAGCAAGAGTCAATTATATGATGTACAGTAATACCTTCTTTCCTGAACAACAGTGAAACGTGGACCAACATAACTAAGGAAAAAATTTAAAATGTTAGAGGGCTTTCAAAATGAAGTCTACGTAAAATATAAAGCCCATAGCAAAACACCATTGGAAGCATTAGGATAGAGTTGGGAATTTTACCAATAACTGATAAAATAGCATACAAACAACTTATGCTACTTCAATTATATAATTAAATTGGAAAACAATAGATTAATGAAGAAAGTTTTTAAATACAGCAGATCAAAAAGGAAGGAAGAAACTGGGAAATGAAATCCAAATAATACTAGATGAATACGAATTAGAAATATCATTTACAGCCATAGGATTAAGCACAAAAAGAACTGGAAAAACAAGTCAAAGATGCTATACTAAAACGAGTAATTAAAAGAGACGAAATGAAAAACTAGAGGCAAAACAAAAATGAACATGATAAACATTGAAAACATACGATTGAAGAATATATGAAAGTATTATCATTTAACGATTCGTGTTTTTGTCATTTAAATGAAAACTTGCATGATTGACCTAAAGGATACTTTAAAATAATTTTAGGCGATGATAACGTGTAATAGATGTAATAACGATATGAAAGAAGATATGGAACATTTATATAATTGTGATAGTTTGTGAAAAATATAAGGAGGGAACAAGAAATAGATAACTGGGAGAAGGGACAACCACTGGACTGTTAAAACCAAATTAATTATGTAGGGAAAATTCTGTCGATCGCTGACACTAACATGTAGAGAATTAGAGGCGACGTTTATCCCTTTGTTTTCTAGATGAACCCCGCACCTCGTTGATTCGGGTGCTTGTGAAATACAAGAGAGGGAACCAGATACAAGATACAAGATACAAGGACTCACGGATTATTGTAATAGCACACATAGCCAGACAAGGAAGCTAACGTAGCTTTCCGTGGCAATAAAAACCAGTGGACCACGTTGGAGATTCATTTCGTTTGTGCACAAGCACAGAGTCAGAACGGGTGAGGTTTTAATGGGGTCACGGGATGTCTGCATTTCTGAAGATAGCAGACGTGTTCTAGCGGCCGACCGAACTACCGCTTCTTCAGCCGAAACTGCAGAGCAATAAGACTGGATTTCATTGTGGTAGGTATGGTCCCGCATGCGGGACACCGTGGAGTAAAGCCCTATACATACGCACGCTAGTGTCACCTAAGCCAGGGTGTCACGCACTCTAATTCATCTAAGAAGATATTAGAAAGTTCCACATGTGTTTAATATGTGAGCTATATCCTGCTAAAACCCCGCGCGCGTGCGGTGTGTGCGGCATGCGTGCGAGCGGCGCGTATACATATGTGTCAGTGTGTGGCCCCATAGATATCTATATTATACTAACATATATAGTTTATATAAAATGATGTTTATATATATATATACTTTATATATAGCACTTGTTAGTATATAGATTTCTATGTGTGGCCCAAGGTTATTTTATTGCATCGAACAGTGCGGTGTAATATAATGTGATTATTCGGTTACGCCAGCTGAAATTCTGACGCTACGCTACGTACGATACTATACGATACGTTCCGATCGATGACGATCTTACACAGATGAATCTGTTTACATTTTGTAGCTTTCAGGTATTATACTTGCATCTGTTCGTATAGCAAATATAATGCCTTGGTACTTTCCATGGACAGACTCAATAAAGAAAAGAGCCTGCAGATATTTACTGCAACGTTATTTGGGTCAGTTTCTACAGGAAAAGCTGAGCTTGAATCAGTTGAGTATTGACTTATACAATGGCACGGGCACAATCAAAGAATTGCAGCTGGATGTTGACGTGAGTACATTGATTTAAAATCATTCTATTACTATTTATGTATAAAGTGTGAGATAATTATTTTTATTACGAATTGTGAATTATGCTCCATATTAAATAAGTAATCATGTATCATATGTAGCAGTGACTGTGAGTTGAAGTGCCATCGTGGATTTACTAAAAATTGCCTCAGCACAGTACGTAGAACGGCCCATTCCTATTTGACAACCCCAGGTTTAAAAACCCTAACCCTAACCTAACCCTAACCAAACTCACGACATGGGTGTGTAAACGCTACTTGTACCCGTAGAACTAGTAGACCGAATAATTCTGTCCCATATAACCTTTTTTAGCTCATCTGACATAGTCAGATGCAGCTTGTAGAATCGCATGATCGTCCGTGCGTCCGTGGTCCGTCCGTGCGTCCGTGCGCGTCAACAGTTGGGCACAAATCTTAACCGCTCGACGTACGGTCACGATATTCGGGACGTGGGGGGTAATCCGAAAACGAGTTGGGATGTCGAAGCTGGGGTCAAGTCAAAGGTCAAAGGTCAAGAGGTGTAAAATAAGGGGAACATTCACTCCTTAACTTAAGGTATAGGAAGGAAATGCAGAATTGCGGCACAAATCTAACGGCTCGACCTAGGCTTGTGAAAGTCGGTGTATAGCATCATGGTAGGAAAAGCCATCACTGTGCCGAAATTGGAGGTCACAGTCAAAGGGCACAGGGCAGATTTTAGACATTTTCTGAGGACATGGTCTGACGGAGCAATTGGAAAACTTTTTTGTTTCATCGGTGACCTACCATTTTTATGGCTTTATTGAAAGGACCATGAAATGTGCTTTCCACTGACGGTCGAAGAGTAAGTGTCTGATAACCTTTTGACCCCTCAAGAGGAGGGATTTAAACATGGATTGTTAACTGTTACTGTGTTAGAAAGAATTTGACTGCTGGGTTTGCTAGTAGAATCTATACATGCCTGGATGTATGAGGCTACAATGTCTCAGTGAAATTTCAAAGCTAAATTTGCTTGAAGAAGGTTTATGCTCCTTAAATCGTATAATTTCTATGGCATTCTGTACTGTCAGTGTGTTTTAATATGCCACTGCCAGTGGCCACTGCCAGTGCATGTAGTGGTGATAGTAATGGTGTAGTTTTTGCCTGGCGTTAATTAGGTACAGGTGGCAGCTCTCTATTGCAGCCTGTAGGAGGGTTAAACATTGATTTGTTTCTCAACTGCGTTGGCGAGTACCTGTGGTTGTGGAACGCTCCCATTTTACAGTGAAATTCCACACATAACTCTTACTTGAACAATGCTTACTTAGGAGATAATGAGATGAGTTATATATGAGATTCTGTAGTGTACATTATGAATAGTTGGAATAGTCACTAGCTTCAAATAATTACCCAGGAGTGAGGCTGTGGATTTCCCAGACTTAATTTTCTCATCAAATTTTGGCACCAATATAGACGCAAATGTGTACGTTCTTGAGCTTATTCGTCCACTAATCCCTGGCCTACCTGTTTTGTTTTTGTTTTAATAGGGTTAGGGTCACAATGCACCATAAAACATTAGTTTCAGGCACGGCGATTGTATCACACATTGGGATTTGGGAGTTATGCAGAATGCAGAAGGTTGCTGAAAGGATGTGTACGCAATGCGTATCTGCATATCTGCGCCTAACAAAGGTGTCACTACGCAGCAACTTAAATGTTACGTTTATCAACCTAGCAACAGACCTCAGATGAGCCCAGACGCTCTGCGGCTCTTGTTATATTTTGGTGAGGGTTATATTGGTCCCCAATATAACCCTCACCAAAATATAAAAAAGGTTATATGGGACAGAATTATTCGGTCTAGTAGAACTAGTAGTAGTACTAGAACTTGTAAGTTGTAGTTGTAGTAGAACTTGTAGTAGAACTTGTAGCAGTAGCAGTTGGAGCTTGTAGCAGTAGCAGTAGCAGTAGCAGAACTTGTAGTAGAAGTGTTTATAAATGCTTAGTTTTACATGCTAATCACCATACCCATATGCCTTACTCAGTAACAGTGGCAGTGAATTTTCTTATATGCCAGTTTACCCATTACTCATTACTGGCTAGGCCTAGGCCCCTACTTGTCATTGTCTTCATTGACATTGGAAGGTGAAATATTGTAATTTGATTTATCCTATATCGTGCCATGATTCATGGGGATATTCAGTTATTTAGATATTCATTTTAGTTTTCAGATATTTAGGGCTATATATGTGCAACATAATCAGTTTTTGTTCGAGATACAGTGTTAGTATTATATGACCCCTCTTGGCTTTCCTACTGTTTTGGAATGTTTATTTTTGCCAGGCAGTGGCCCATATCTTGTGTCACGTGTATGCGTCCACTGAAATTGCCCGTGGGCTACGTTGTAGCTAGTGCATGATCACATGATGGTGATCATGCAGCGTGTGTCATGCCGAGGTCAATAAAAATGTTTTTATTTAACATCAATCTGCTACTACTACTCCACACATATCTCCACATATATACTCCACACATGCCAAGTGTACTCAAATCTAGCTATTATGGGTTAAAAAATGATGGCATGCACAAATTTATAGTACAGTATAAACGCGTGTGTTACAAACATTTTGTAATGAAAAATAATGACATGCACAATTATAATGGGAGCACAGAAGTAAAGGTATTCATCAATTTTAGATGGATGATTGGTAACAGTAACACTTAAGGGGAGCTTGCGAGCCGACTCGACTGGAAGCAACTGGCTGCAATTCACTGTGACTACAGTGCTTAGGTCGGTTGACTGCGACGCGACTGCCTGCGACTGGCCGCCACTAGTTGCTCGGAATAGAACAGTGGGCAACTGGACGCAACTAGTCACTGCCGATCGCTTCCTGTTGCTCGAAATCCAGTTGCTTCCAGTCAAGTCGGCTTGCAAGCCCGACATAAGCCCCCCTTTAGGGGACTGTGAACAACAATATAACAGTGTAGAATACTGTAGCTAATACTTGGCAGTTGCTGAAGAAATCGGCTTATGTCGCTTATTTAAACTTTGGTCAATGTCATTAAGTGTAATATGTTTGATTAATTTACAGGCACTGAATGAGTTGCTGGAGACGGCCAACTTGCCTCTAGAAATCATTGATGGTTTTGTAGGCAGCATATCCGTCGTTATACCATGGTCTGCTTTGCTGATAGAGAGCTCTGTTGTGGAAATATCGGGGCTGGAGTTCACCGTTCAGCCCAAGCAGCGATTAGATGATGGTGAAATATTTTTTTCTATTTAGAAAGCTCATTCGTCTATTGTAAATTTAATGGCATGACCCTGCCCGATTTAATTAACTATAGAAACGTATAGAAAAGTTGTAGGGTTGTCATTAGAACATGCAAAGCACAATGCTGTTGTCATATGTGGGTAGAAATAGTACAAGAGCATGCATGGAAAGGTTTCTGCGTATAAAGTACGTTTAAAGGTTGTTGATCGCATGATTTTTCAGCTGGTATACATCGAGGCATTAAACATACATACATCTATATTAGATCTGTATTTAGCATGTACTAACTTTTGGTACGTAGAAACTAATGATCAGCAAGCAGATTACTCATTTTAACTTATGTTACTTATTGCTGCCATCTAGCAGCACACCGTAAAAATTACATCTTTGCCACAATTAATGGCATGGTGGCATTATGTGTTCAACATATATGTGTGTTTGTGATATAGTGGTAATACTGATTTCCAGTGGCAATGTTCGAGTCCATGGTGAGTAGTATGACCACCAGCATGCAATTGGCGCAGGAGTGCCTTCGTCAAGACATAACTAACGAGGAAGCGGAGGAGCTGGAGTTTGCGCAGCCCTTTGAGGGCCTCGAGTCTTTTGCTCAGACAATTGAATCAGGTGAGACACGTGTTTCGCGAGTGTACATGGTGTCCTGATGACTGTAGATCTAGCTAGGTCTAGGCTGGAGAGTGATCCAGGTTTACTCTCACATTGGTCATATGGTGGCCTTTGGCTAATGTTTAATCAGTCTCCTTTCATCTTATGACTGTTAGCTATTAGTTATTATGATTAAGTAATAGAGCTTAAGTATTAAGTATAATTATCAGTTTCAGCTGTAGCACTATTATTATGCCCATACGTCCTATCATTCATTCTTTGCTCCACTTAGTGCCAGTGTAATATGATAGGTTACATACATGTATGTACAGTGTGTGAAGTAGCAATATTGGTTGCCTGACCAGCTGGCCTTCTAAGTCTTTGCTGGGCGAGTGATTAACAGAAACTTGCCAGCATTCCTGTAGCCTACCGAGAGGTTTATTCTCTGAGCAGTGAAAGGTTAACATTGATTTCCCAGTATCATTTATTATTCAGTCACATTTTCATTTAGTTATGAAAAATACACATCCAATTATACTGTACACAATGCAAAAACATTTCAGTGCTTTCAAGAATCAGAGTGACATTCTTAGATGTGATAGTGCGGTTGGAACATGTGCCAAAAGAATGCAAGTCTGGAGTGGGATTGGAGCTTAGGATTGACAGGTGGGAAAGATGCAAGTAAAGGACACGGTTGCTGTAACCTACTATTCAGAATAGTTAGTTGTAGAAAGCATGCATGTCACATATAAAGTGGCCGCAGCAAAAATTCAACTGGCGGGCGTACGTTGAGTTGCACATGAACTGTCGAATCTTACTATGCTACCCTTTCACTTCAGGATCGAATATTTCGATGAGGCAGGTAGTGAGCTGAGTGGCAACTCCGACCTGTCGAAGACTGTACACGAGACACCCATCTTTGTTACGAAGGTGCTGCAGGTGTTCGGCCTGACTGTGTTTTGTGATGAGTTTCCAGCATATGCTAGGACGCACTCCCGAGGTTCTTCAAGCATGGACTTGTTCATGTCTGCCCCAGAGTCACCTACCGTGAGTAGCCAAGTTGTCGGGTCTGGCCAGCTACCCTCTTACCTTGATCCCTAAAAAAACAAAGGGCCTGCACTAAAGATTTCCTCCACTGACGGTCTTAGCCTGTCCTGCTTTTCTTACTAGCCACACATAGGTTTTAGTGTGAAATTAGTATTGGGATAGATAAATTGAAATTATTGTAATTAAAGAGATGACATCATAATTTATGTTAGCAGAATTCACCTTCACGCAGTTCACACACTGACAACTTTCCCTTGTGTTTAGTACTTGCTAAGCAATAGATTAATGTTTATAATGTTATATTGGTATGGTTGGCAACAGTCGACTGCTTCATGTCTTTTCAAAAATGTTGTCAAGGAAATCATGGCTTATTGAAAACTATAAATCCATTAATGTTTTATCAAAACTTGAAACGTGGTGCACACGAACTCTCAATGGGATCATAGCTAATAGAAAAATGAAGTTATTTAACAAAATGGATTACATATTCAGTTTTGTTCTTTATTGATTATTACTTAATGTGTGACTAATGCATTTGTAACACAATGGATTGTGTATTAGATTTTGTTCAATTTTGAGTTTTGCTTAAAGGCATCGTTTACTCTAGGTTCTAGGGTTATTTTCAGTTAATGTAGGTTAAAATTACGCTACATAAAAAGTTTCATGGTTCAATCACCATTAGAAAATGTTTTAAAACTAATGACTACAGTAACCAGTTTGATTACAACGATGGTGGCGCCACTCAAAGCGCACGATCTGATAAGTTGCGCAAAACGACTTTTCAGCCAAGGGCTACAGACTGAGGGTGTTTCTTATTCATTAATTTAAAAGCAAAAGGATTGTAATGTCTTATTAACGACATATAGTTTCAGTTATAATATGGATAAATTTGCCCTAAAATGAATATCGTTCGGTTAAATAGCATTTAGCTATAAATATAATTGCACTTTGTGATTAGCCCTCGGTCTGTAACGTGCAAAATAAATTGGCAAATGCGCAACTTTTTCAGGGTGGCAGCAGCATTGCGGTCAATGGCGCCGTTCAGATTTCGTAGCGTTGATGTATAATTTATTATAACAATTAAATTAGGTATCTGGTAACAAGTACGTGTGGGTATAGACGATTTGTTATACAGTAAGTACAGTTGTATGCAGTAAAATCCTAGAGTCTACTATCCCTTTAATAAATAACTAGTCTACAATTAAGTAGACTTAGCATATCAAAAGCAAGTGCCAGAAAAGTCGTGATCTATTATTGTTTACAGGGTTTTCAACATTTTAAGCATTGTAGTTATCTTATAATACTCGTGTCTATAATTCTATATGCAACTGTCTCTATCAGCAAACTTGGTAAAGACTGCATAGCTGCGTGTTGTATATTGTATATTGACTCCAGCTGGCTGACTCCCATAGTGCTATTTGTATCCACAGGACACTTTGATACAGCCAAGAGAGAGTGATTCACCACCTACGACAAGCACATTTCAGTCTAACCCCATCGTCATTGGCAAATTTTCTGGCAAACATGAAGTCAAAGTGAAATTGAAACAAAATGACGCAGTCTCTGGACCAAAGGTAAATAGACTGTTTCACGGAGTGGAATCGTCATGTTTCTGTAATTGTATGTTAAATATTACATATAACATGCAAACCATAGAAATGGAACCAAACCTAAATCAACAATATTTCCTTTACTGGTACTACAATTGCACAAAGAAATTAAAAGGAATATCCAACAACTTTAGGCATGTTAGCAAAGCAATGGATTGATATGGCAACAGTGTCAAACTCTATACACTACAGGCACATTGTATGAGTTTAGGTATTTAACAAGGTTGCTTACTATATCTTTCAACAAATGATTTTGCAGTTTGAGCTCGATGGATTCCTTGGTTATGCAAACTTTTTTCTCTCACCAAGACAAGTCCACATTCTTGCAGGCATGCTAAGTGGACTCATTTTTCCAGGTGAAGTATGTTAGTCGTTGAGATCATTAAAAAAGTCAGAATAATGCGTTTACTTCTCAGAGATTTATTTATTAATAATTATTAGTTATAAATATACACTTACTGTTTTCACTGTTACTGATATAATCATTGTTGCAACCAATACTAATACAGTTAGTGAAACTTTTGTTTCACTTGTTGTTGTTTTTATTTCTGCCACAGAGACGGAGGACAGCAGTAATGTTAGTCATCAGGCAAGAAACAAACCTATGCAAGCCGCTGATTACCAGAAGATAGAGAGTGATCTGCAGAAGCAGATCCGTGGTGTGCACACCAGCAGGAGGCCTGAGCAAGACCTGGTCACAGCACATCTAGGTGAGCAGCTCTGACATTCAATGATACCCTCAGCTTGAATTTGTTGACAGCCTTGTGTTCCAAAATCGTTGCATTACAAAAGTCACTTTCGTGACCGAATAATTTATTCGTAGGCTTACGGTTGCCCTATTTATTTCTTCCTATAGTATAACTTCGTTTTTTTTGCGAGTATATGTTTCTAACGTGAGACCCCAAGAAAGAGTGAAGGGTATGCATGCATGCACACAGACGTCTTACATAAATCTATGAGGTGTCAACATGATGTTAACCTATTCTCACGGCTTGCGGTTGCAATACAAAGCTGGGTTATCTCTGTAATTCTTTGTTTCAGACTTTGACGAGGATTATTTCCCTGTGTCAGAGCAGATGACTACCGTGGGAGTGGAGAGCATGGTGTCTAGCATCTCTAGTGACATCAGCACCACGAGCACTGCAAAGAGTGACACCTCAGGTGAGTATCTAGCACGTTCCACCCTACTGCTAGCTCTATGATTTTTTATTATTTACCTGTTTTCTGTATTTTTCTATCTTTATCCATTTAACTATTTTGTTCCAATATAGGGTCCCACATATCAAGTCATGCACGATGTCCCGGCCACGGCCGGGACCCGCAGTGAAAGGGTTAACGCAAATATTTACATGATTTATTTACAACAATTTAACAACAACAAATAATATTTACAACAATTAATTTGTTTTGTTTTGTTAATAGGGTTAGGGTTAGGGTCACAATGCACCATAAAACACGAGTTTCAGGCACGCGATTTGTATCAACTAATGGGATTTGGGAGATATGCAGAATGCAAAAGGTTGCTGAAATGATGTGTAAACTGCGTATCTGCATATCTGCGCCTAACAAAGGTGTCACTACGCACGACTTAAATGTTATGTTTATAACCGTAGCAACAGACCTCAGACGAGCCCAGACGCTCTGCGGCTCGTGTATTGTATACAGTTGTCCATTTAATAGAGGTGACAGTTAACACAGGCTTCACTGTATACATTTTCAGTTCCGTATGGGAACTACTTTTACACTGGAGGTAAGCTGTCTTCGCCCTTCCGTGCAGTGCCAGCGAAACCAGTAGCACACAACATCAGACATCACTCTGTTAAACAGAAAGGTATTTTCTATGAACATCATATAGACGTTTTATTAAACCTGAACTTTGTGGATATGTTGACTGTATTTGTGTCTATGTGGCCAAGCTTGCCTACCACCGTCTGATCTGTTCTTGAAGTCAGTTGATAGTCTTTGTAGGACATAGTATTGCCTGTTTGCTTACTTTGTTTTGCATTTTACTGTTTGTATTTGACTGGCTCTTAACATTAGATGGCATTTTCTATTTTCTAAACTATTTGACTAGTGTACTGCACACGTGTTGCTAGCGAAACGTTTAGTATATTTTTCTAGCTTGCACTTTCTATATCTCTATAAACTTTTATATATACCTAATTACAATAAAAACCTGTTATACGACGTATATTTCTTGCCCTGCAGGTAAGCATGGGAGCATCGATGATCCCGCCGCTGACCTCACCCGATACAAGGTCACGATTAGCTGTCTGTCCGTTACGGTACTGCATGAAGATCCAGCGTCAAGCTCTCTCTCAGGTGAGTTTTGCATGCAATACCGGATAACTGTAATTGATAGGAACATTGCTGGTTCTTTTTTTTAGATCGGCGATCAGCATACACAGACAGAACTACATTGTAATTACAAGACAAATGTCAAATGGCATGGAAATAATGTTAATCATCATCAAAGAGGTTATCATGTTTATGGTGAAGACTGCCTCTGAGTGTGTGACTGTCATATATAGAAAACTGTTCCATGCCTTATACTTGCTACCATTGTTAACTACCACTTAGGCAAATAAAGCAGCAATTCTGGGGCCCATTGTCAGAAACAAAATTAGTCTTAACATTAGTATTAACATGGCCGTTTTCTCTTAGACTGTTGACAGAAGCGTTGTAAAGTTACGAGAATAAAAAAATCCTACCATATTTCCTCAAAACTTTACGAAAAAAAACTGGCTCTGATAAAATGTTAATGTTAATACTGATGCTAGGACTAATTTTGTTTCTGACAACGGGCTCCTGAGCAGCATACTGATGGTCTACTGCTCTGTGCCTTATTCCCTGCGCAGCTCCTTACTGGTGCGCATATTGACGATGTGTTTGTTACACGTTGACGATTCCAGCAGAGAGAAAGGCATCTTCCACAGGCTGCATGGATGAGAAGCAGAAGCGACTAGCAGATGCATTCTTTGAAGCTGTGATGGGCATAAGTGTCGCCGGTTACACTCATCAACTGCACCTCCTTAGGGAGGATTTTGCACGCGCCTGCTCGGCGGATCACTTGCGGTGAGTACGGCTGAGAGGGTCTATGTCCCCCGGGGTACTGCCGGAACGTACTCTGGGTACGGTCCAGTATACCGGAACGTACCCTGGTACTATCTAATATGCCGGACCGTACCTCGCCTACTACACTAACGAGTCTAGGGAGTCGCCTATGCCTACTCCCTAACCCTGACCCGAACCCTAACCCTAACCCTAACCATAACCCTAATCCTAACCCTAACCATATCAAATAATGACCAGGGTACGTTCTGGTATACCGGACTGTACCCTGGGTACGCAGTCAGGGACGTGTTTACGAAATTCGCGAAAATTAAACCACCGCGAAATATACAGCTTATACAGTAGTGGAAAACCTCTAACCATTTTTCCATTACCAATTTAGCTTTAGATTGCAATCACGATCAATAAAGATTCTATTCTATTCATTGAGATGAGATTATTGCCATCTACAATTCTCTTCTCCCCAGGCTTATAGCATCACCCATTACCCTCGAAGCCTGTGAGAAAAAGTCGATCTCTCATCGTAATCTCGTGGCAACGGTCACCACGGGTAATGCAGAGGTTGTTGAGTGCCTGTTTGAAAAGACGAGTAACGTCGCATCTCAGGAAGGTCCACTGAACGAGCTGGTCATGCCACACTATAGCGAGGTATGTGTTTGTTACTAGAGGAATCGCAGGCCGTTTGTGTCTGGGAACCCATAAAAAATCAGAGGAATATCTTTATCTATTTGAAAGAGCATAGCGAAGGTGAGAAGAAAAGTAAAAGCAAGTGAATGAAAAAGGTCAAAAGAGAGGGAGGAAGGGGAGCATGTGGGAGGGAGAGAGATACTTTTATTGGGAATTGGTGTTATACATGCTGCAACAAACAGGGAGTCGTAAATGAGGAAAGGCAGACAGTTATAGATAGGCGGTAAGTATCACTTGGTTTACTCATTAGGAGGGACCGAGGCATTTCGTGTTTGCAGGCATATTAGTCTTATTATACCTTAGGCTTACGTTTCAGCTGCTAAAGTTTACAAAGGAATCACTGGAATCACCTAGCATAAAGGTTTCAGTGGATATTGTTGAGAGAATAAGCCCTCAGGTATGTATTCTGATGAAAAACATCTTTTACTTATAACTTCCCAAGAAGTCCATGAGCAATATGTAATCGAATCTATATATAATAATAATAATATATTATTACAATAATATAATCTATCGAATCATACCACTGTTGACTGGTTCACTAACAATTTTTCTTTATGCTTAACTACACTCCCAGCTTCTCGATGGAAAATGTACAGACAAAGGATATCAAATTAAGAGCCAAAAATTGCACAATCCTTCCCTCACACTGTCACGAATTATCCCAATATCATGCCCACACACACGTGTGTCAGTGTTTTTGATGCGTGTGCAACTGGTGACATTGTGTACATATGTTAAGTGTGTGAGTGCATGCATCTGCATAAATTCATAGTAACAGCAACAATTACATTAATGCACCTATTCTATACTTCATGAGCAGGTCCGTCGAACTAGGAATAGCAGCAAGCAACCTAAGACAGAAATTCATATAGAGCTGGCAGATTGCTCCTCCGACATAGACATCTCTATTGTTGACAGACTCCACACACTGCTTAACCCACACTGGCCTCCGACTGCTCCAACTTCTAGCATGTACAAACCAGCAGCTTCTAGCATGGGACCGGTACGTATCACTCACACACATGTGATATGTGGTTTACCAGATGATTTTTTACTGCTGCTGTGCTTGTTTGATGTTGTTAGTTAGTCGCAGTTAAAGGTGTAGTTCTCTACAATTCAGACACCCCTGAACTACTTCTCACAAGCTATGGATGAGGGTCCATCACCCGATGATAACAAGGTCGATCTACACATATCCAGTTCACTGGCAACGTTCAACGTTCACTTCCCGATTGCCGACCTACGGCCCGAGCAGAACCGGCGCCCCTGGTGGCAGAGAGAGCTCAGAAAGGAGGTGCTAATATTGGATTGTACAGAGCTGTACATGCATACTGTGATCGGGAATGAGGATGGACAGCACAAGTTGGAGTTCACTAGCAAGGAGGTGCATGGTGAGTTAAGACCCCTACTAGTCTATGGAAGAATGTTCCATCAGGTCGGTGGTTCATTTAGTCATAAGCCTAAAAATAGCTCGCCTAGTGGTCTCAAGTAATGCTCGTATTTTCCTTTGTAGTCCATCAGTGACTAACATGGGTTATCGAGATTTTGACTGTAGTGATGAAAGGTTGTCAAGACTGTGCTCTAGAAGAGCATGGTGTCAGTAACTCGTTGCATTCTGAATCATAAAGCTTGTGTCTTTAATCTTGTTCTAGTCGCATTCCGAGAGTCACCAAGCAAGCCTCCCATTTCTATAGGACGAATAAGCCGTGGAACCAACGGTGATAGCTTCAGTTCAAAACGAGATGAAGAATTTGACTGGCCAAGGTGAAATCTAATGCTCAGCTCTACATGTGTATGTGTGTGTGTGCGTGTGTGTGTGCGTGTGCGTGTGCGTGTGCGTGTGCGTGTGCGTGTGCGTGTGTGCGTGTGCATGTGTGTGTGAAATACTATCACTTGTCCTTTATCTGCTACTTGTCATATTTGAAATTGAATTTAAAATTTAATGGAGATGAATTCGTTTCTTGTTATTATGACCTTCATCCGTGGCTGATTGCCATTAGTGTAGCTGTCTGTGCACCTGACACGTGACTGTTTTGATGACGTGGCAGTAGCTTGATAGAGGTGATGGAAGGTGATGATGATTAGAGATTATTCCAACTTGTAAACTCCTGCAGGATCTAAAAGATAGCTCATTTGCATTAATTTAATTGCCAACTTTAGGCTACAGCATTATTGCTTCTAACATTTATCACATATTTCTGGGAGCCATTGCCTTGGGAATCTTTCTACTGTACTCAGCAATGAGCATAAATTCGTTATCGCTTGCTATCACAGGGTGGTGTTGAAATTCAATCCGGGAGTACATCGCTCAGTGCTGGAAGAGCAACAGCTGACGGAATCGGATCCGGAGTCCAGCAGCATGCCATATATGGATGAAACCTGTAACATCAAGAAGCCAGAACCGTCACCTTTCTCTTCTCGGAAAGTCATGTATGAAAGTGAAGAGGTAACTGTGTCAGTTTTCTACGTGTAAAAATATCACACACTTTATTACATTCATTCCTATGTCAAATTCCCACTTGTTTTGCACCAAATATATGAATTTATAAAGCCTGGATTTAACAAAAGATAACTTGTTCAAAAACAAATTGGTTCTGCTAGTATTCACTATTTGTATTTTTTGGACAGCAATGGTGTAAAAATGAGGGTCACATTTAATATGGAAATAAATGTTCTTGTGTTTATAGATGGTGATGCCAGGTGACAAACAGGAGATGATGGAGTTTCAGGACAAAGCTGCTGTTAGAACAGAGATTGTATTGGAGCTAAACTTACCAAACGTTAATGTGTTTCTGCCAAGCAAAGACTTATATGAGCTTATATACAACAGGTGTGCTTTGTATATTTTATATTCGTATACAAGTTGAGCACCTCTCATTTGAAATTTCAAAAATTGAAAAAGCTCTTAAATCTGCACACTTTTTCAAATGCATAAATATGTACTTTTTAATGTTCATATTATTCATGCAGAAAATGATTAAAAATATTTCCTGTAACTGACTACGGGCTAAATCTATATAAATAAACCTGAAACTTGGGTCCCATTCACAAGCCATCGCATTAATACATGGGGAAAAGGTTTACAGGAATTCCACTCTCAGAAAAATTCTGGAACCTAAGTCACTTTCTGCTCCATGCATTTCGAATAAGGGGTGCTCAACCTGTATCGATGTAAGTTATCATATGTCATATTAATTCAAATGTGGGGTAGAAGTTGAATCCATACTAACACAGGTCAATGATATTAGATTACATTTATAATATGTGATTGCACACGGGTTTTATTAACAAACAAGAGTAAATAAAAAAACGTTATCCTATTTTTAGACTATGCAATGACCTTTTCCTCTGGGAGTCTCTAGCACCGGCACCCAAAGAGAAGTCCGACCACTGCATCAGTATGGCACCACTGTCACTAGCTAGCCACTTACTGCCCAAATCAGAATATTTCAGCTTGTGCAAGTCAGCACTGCCTTATGGTAAGGAAAACAGCTGCAAGAACTGCAAGACAAAAACCAAATATTAAACTATACTTGCAACTAAATAATAACATATGTGTGTTTGTAAAGAAGTGTTTCAATTTGATATTTGTTGTTAGGTTACAACAGGTATCTTTTTGATTACAGATTCAGATTCAGAATCTGAAGATGAAAGTGGGCAATACAGCACTGAGCAGCGGAGAGTGCACCGGTACCGGCAGAAGGCAGAAGCATCAGGCCCCAGCAAGGTGGCCATCATACTCAATGTTGCACAGGGTCAGGTGACACTTAGAACACCTATCAAGGTAAGATTGGCTTCTTTAGCCTGGTTGAATATAAACAGGGCCATCTGTGTAACTAATTTGTGTAAGAGTACCTTTCTTCAAATGGGATTTTGATTATAGAGAGTGAAGCATTTAGAAAGTCGCATTGCTTGAATTATTTTAGAGTGAAATTTCATGAAAATCAACTGTAATTGGGATACTAGGAGCTTGTCTGTCTGCTTGTCTGTCTGTCTATCTCTATATATCTCTATATATATTTATCTATCTATCTATCTATCTATCTATCTATCTATCTATCTATGTATCTATCTATATATCTGCCTATCTATCTATCTATCTATCTATCTATCTGTCTATCTATCTATCTAGCTATATGTCTATCTATCTATCTATCTATCTATCTATCTATCTATCTATCTATCTATCTAGCTATATGTCTGTCTGTCTGTCTAGCTATCTATCTATCTATCTATCTAACTCTCCTCTCTCTATATGTAACTCTGTCTGTCAATAATGTAATGTAATGGATGTAAATTGCACAAGTATAAATTTACTCTGTATCTGTGTAGGATGTCAATGGAGAGGAGATTCTTGGTAGACATGGACAGTTGGTTGCTCAGGTCACAGATGGGAGTATGTTCCTGGTTGCCTGCTATAAAGGCCAACCAGAGGTTGCATACATGTGGTTCCTTTCAAACCGCTTTGCTCTTTTCCACAGAGGTAGTTGATTTTTACGTTTTTCATTTGCTTTACAGGACCACTTAGGTTAAGTACCATCTTGTCAGGATTAAATAAATAAATAAATATATGCAAATCTTTGCATCAGTGTTTTATTATGCTATGTCAAGCAGGTATTGGGCAAGTAGTATGTCTTTTGTAGGTTTTTACGAAGTCTGTTATTACTTTTGCTTTCAACAGCATCAGTATCGAATTCAACCCCATGCCCAAAACTAGAGCGGGTCACAATGAAGTACCCTACTGGCATGGACCCGACACTGTACAAGTCAGAGAGTGGAGTTCACACAAAACTATCAGGGCAGGTGGGGTCAGGCGGGGACAGTCTGGACATGCTTAGTGTTGCTCTGAAGCTTAACTTGGACACCTACAGGAGTATAAAGGTGCGAATGCATTTGACATATTATGATGTAATAGTTCATTTTCAATCAAATAATTTTTTTATGATGTGTCTATTTGCAAATGTATGTATATAAGTGTTATGTGTAAATTTGTTTCTTAATAAGATTATTTTTTAACAGTTCATCTATGTTTTACTAACACTAACCTCCTATTTTCTCCTTATTCTGCCTCTTGCTAATCTCCTGTTCACGTACACATGCCCGTCATCTGTTGCTTCTCTTTTTCACTTTTTAGCTTATCTGTTGTAGTCAAAATCATTTGCTGGTGTTTGTCCTGTATGCTTGTTAACAGTAGTGGCACAGATATTAATATCTTCTCATATTAAGTTCATATTCGGCTTGTAGGGTTGAGCTATAACAAGTAAGGCACAGGCAAAAGTCAGGATCAATAGTGAGAGCTATAGGTAACCAGGGAACTAGAATATTCCTCTACCCTTGTGTATCACCACTGTTATTGTACAATCATGCAATTGTTCCACGTATCTTATCACTGTTAACTGTAGATTTTTTTGAAGATTCCTAGTGAAAAACCATTTCATCAATACAAAAATGGATGTTAAAGGCTGAGGGAAAGTAGTTCAATATGGAATATGTATACAGGTATCTGAGAATAGGATTTTTAGGGCAGGACTTCTTAACCCATTGTTAACTTACCTTGTTATAGCTCTATTTAAATATCATCTGTTTTCAAGGCTTTATAAAAAGAAGCGTAAAACGTTCTATAATGATACTGGAAGAGAAATTGTTCTGTGACCATTTGCCAATCTTCAAAGAATTTCATTCTTTTAATCTTAAAATATATTAACATTAGTTTTAACATGGAAATTTAATTTATAAAAGGTGAATACTGAAGCACATGAACAAGTATGCTTTATGTTTCATGCAGCTCGCCGCCAGCTCCCGTTCCTCCTGCCAACAGACCTATACAATTGTAAACAGGAATTATAAGCATATGTGTTGTTATCTGCATGATCATGACACTACTGATTAGGTTGAGCACGAAAACAGACAAAGACAAGTGGTAGTGGTTGTCATGATGTTAGTGATAGTATTAGTGGTCATGAAAATGGTAGCGTTAGTAGCAGTGCCAGTAATCATCATAATATTTCTATTTATAGTTTTTATAGTAATAGTAGTAGTATTAATGGTCATGTAACTTGATGGCAGTAGCAGTGGCACCAGTCACGATTACCTTAGGTCATGCAGGATAGAGGTGGGAAGATACGGGTAGTTCACGATATAATCCATATCACGATACAGCCTTCACGATACGGTAGCGATACGTATCGCGATAGTTTCAAGAGAAACTACTAGGAAACAATACATTCAACCAGGAATTCAACTAGCAAATTATGTGAATGTTTACAAATCAGTATCGTGGAGTGCTTAGTAAACAACTGCTATGGAATTGCAAATTGTGTTATGTTCTTTTTGGTTTGGGATGAAACTGCACTATGTGTACCATGAATGGTAAAACGTATCGATGTGTGTACCGTCAAGGTTTGTATTGTGATACATCGATATATTGATGAATCGTCCCACCCCTAATTCAGGAGTAGTAGTAGCCATAGCAGTAGTTATAGATGCCCTCTGTAGTGCTGCAACACTCGTTTTTCTTTCACTTTTTCTTTTCTGCATACAACGCAAATGTGCATTCTCCCTCTCAGTTCTTAATTCACAATTTTTGTCGTCCCTATGTTCATTAGAATAATTGCTCTTTAGGTACTATAAGTATTTTATTTGTACACAGGACATAGTAGTGGCTCTAGCAGTTCGTGGGGCAACATTGCAGTATAGAGTGAGTCCCGCAGGCCAGACCTGGCTGGACCAGGTAAGTTTACATAACATATCTAGTCACATTACATTCACATTAGATCTCGTATGAAGCCATTTGCATAAATGCAGGTTGTGAGGTGAAATTAATAACTGCACTATGTAATAAAAACACTGTAAAAACATCTGGTAATGTGCTATGTGTAACACATTGAATCTCGGACACTCCTAGGTGATGGACTTCTTTAAAGTGTATGACTATCCTGTATTGGGCTACAGCTTCCCTGCCGTTGTAACGGAGCTTCATGTACACGTGTACAGCTGCGCCGTTGATTACAGGTGGGTGTACATTATTGTAGTTAGATTATATTAACAAGCGTTATTTCACAGACTAGCAAGTTTAAATAATATAACTTGTTTCATAATACAGTGTAATATATAATGCATTGGTACTGAGATCATGTCATATTATGTCACATCTACCTCTTATGCTTGCAGGCCATTGTATTTACCTCTGAGAGCCATTGCTGTTGTAGAAGCTTTCAGCGTATCCAGTAATGTGGTAGCTGAATCTCCTACATCATTACTAAGGTATTTTCATCTTATTTGATGTAGAAATGGTGCATTTAGTAATATATGGTATAGCTTTTCTATATTAAGTATTATTGGTGCACCTTGAGTTTGTAGGTCGATCAAGCTATGTGATACCTTTAAAAAGATTAAAGCCGGTTAAGTCCAAATTTAAAACTGTTGAACTCTCTTTTGTCTTTATCATTGTTTATTTGCATGACCAAGTATTATGTTACACTTTCCATTTTGACGTTTTTTGTGTGCAATTACAACAGTTACAATGCAGACGTCCTATTTTCCTAGGACAAATGAGTCAAATAGCCTGTGTTATATATTTATTTTACTATTATTAGAAAATTTCCATCGATTCCAATCTATGGTACATTACCTGGCCGAGGCAGTGATGTTTGGTAACATATAATATCTGTGTGCTGTGTCACAAACTAAGGGTCTCTTTTTAATAAACATCTTGTTCTCTAGGTTCATATTGGAAGATGCAAGTCTTTATCTATCTGAGAAGTGTGAAGCTCCTGTGGTGGAACTGAAGAAAAGTGAGTATCTGTGCTCCCACAACAGAATATGATATTTATTGATTTGTTGACAGTACATAGGTAAAAGTGAGAACATATACTTTCAAGCTCATCACAGTCAGTGTAATATCTGCGTGGCTTTCCCTGCTTACGGCACTGCTAACATATCATTCTCACTAGTGAGTCGTAATTGAGTGTCGTCTCGTTGCGTTCTCATAGATTACGTCTGCGTGATGGACCTCGGCTTATTTGAGCTGGTGCTGAGGATGAGCACGGGACAGGACCGGCGCTACCCCAAGGTGGACATGCGCGCGAGCAACAACATACTGCACATCCGCACATGCGCCGATTCCTGCATCGCGATGCAGCGTTTGCTCACCTACCTGGCTGCCGATGGCGACCTCACTGGCGACTCGATATCAACTGCTTCTTCCAAGGTAACCCCGCTGCCACGACTCGCATGCTGAAACAGATGCATTTGTGGCATAGGTTTCTAACACAGTAACCCCGCTGCCACTACTTGCAGCCTGAAACAGATGCATTTGTGGCATAGGTTTCTAACACAGTAACCCTGCTGCCACTACTTGCAGCCTGAAACAAAACATGTAGCATGGCTTTTCACCAAGGTAAAGCCTTTCTGACATGCTCAGCCTGAAATAAATGCATTTGCGACACGGCATTCTATTACCAAGGGAACCCCCTGCCATCACTTGCATGCCGAAACAAATGCATTTGTGGGATACAAATATTCTCCATTGTCGAATGCCATTCTAGCAACTAATGTCAACAATATGTAAAGCGCACCATGCAATTTGGTGCTAGAAATTATTATTTGTTATTTGTTAGAAAATGAACATTTGTTGAGTCATATGTAATGTAATGTCAAGCCACAAAGTAACACATCGAACGGTGTTGGAGGAAATAGCCACGTGCTCTGTTTCCTGCAACGCCGTGTAGCAAACGTTGTTAACAGTTTGCTGAATGATGTTGGAAACGTGTGTTAAGGAACAGCGTGTCGTGGGTGTAGATCAAGAGTTAACGCGTCGGTGCTTGGTTGCAGGTGTCGACGACGGAGACAGCGAGAAGTGACAGCCCGCTGCAGGGCTCCGTTCACGGCAGCGAGGTTCACGACCTGATGGCGGAGGCCATGCGCGAGTCCTGTAGCTCCAGCCCGGAAATGAGCCCCGGTGAGTGTGCATGCTCGCACCAACACTAACATCATGGAAAGCTCTCAGCTTCGTGAGGAATGCTGTGGTGTTCACACGGGTGTTGGGTCCGAGTTTTAATCCGAAATGTACTATAATCTTGTTAGTGAGAAACCTACAATAAGCTTTTTAATGGGGGGCATACTATACGCTGTTTAAAACTGATTGAAAACATTCTGTAATCTTGTTAGTAAGAAACCTACAATAAGCTTTTTAATGGGCGACATACTATACGCAGTTTAAAACTGTCTAGAGCTAGCATTTCCCCGAGCTCTTTAGACGTTAACCTTTGATCTTTCTATTTGAACACCGATTTACCATTGATCTACAGTCAACAACAGCAAGCTGTATTATTAGAACGTATTGATGAAAAGTCAGTCTTAATTTTCCTATCTTATTCCATTTTTAATTTTGATCTATCAACAATCTTTTATAGTAGTATCTCACAAATGGAGACCAAACATATTTTGTAAACAACTTCTGTGCAAGTTCGGCTCCATGTCGATATGCTACCGCCATCTATCGAGCCATACTCGTAATTTTTCGTTGACCTTTTTTTAATTTGAATTAACTTATCTAGGTATCATCACATACGTTACAACAGTAAGTACATGCATACAATACGCAGTTAGATAACTGCAAATGATAAATATACAAAACGTATGACAAGCATACTCGTTTACATTGTGATCATTAAACATTTACAGACACATATACAACCTACACTGAAGCCATAACGCCATATGAACATGCATGATGCATATGGTGCCATTAACATTCGTCCACTTTGTATCCGAGATATTGGCTAATAAATAAGTATGTAGAATATATTGGTACGGATATTTGTTGTCTAAACGCTAATACGATAAAAGGATCAAAATATACTAAATTTTTTATTTTGCTCTCTCTCCTCTCGATCCAATAAATAATGAAAATTTCAAAAATGAAAAGTAACAATTACATATAATAATATACAACCAATCGATTTTCGGATCATTATTTCAATTTTGCAACGAGAATGAGTTTGATAACAGTCACTGAATAAAATTCATCAACAATTCACAAGTATTTAGTGTATTTTTACATTTATTTTTCATTCAATCTATAGCACAAGAAATGGCCAATGAAATCATATCCATTTGATCTTCACTATATGGCACTGCACTCACTTCCTAAAGATCACACAAGACCACCAGCTGATTCCCGCCTAAGAATAATGTTACTAAAATCACGAAATTCTTCCAATAGCAATTTAAACTATGAAAAACAATAAATATGTTGTCATTGTAATTCTATATACACAGACAGGAAACTGTGGCTATTAATTAAGAAAGTATGGGCATCTGATTTGAGCACCTGACCTATATTATTTGTCCGTTAAAACCTGCAATGGAGAGAGCTGAATGAAAGTGAGCAAGAGATGTGCTACATATCACAACGAAATCGGCAGCACAGCTGATAAGATTGCCAGCATGCTAGTAAAAGAATACCCTTTACCTGTTTATATACCCTCTATGTTTACACCCTAAACAACACAAGCACCAGTATACACTTTTTAAATTACAGAAGACAATCTCACAGTGCTCAGTATAAAACTGGAACAAAAATCACAATAATCTTTCACCCTATCTCAATACTACAAATCAGCTAATTACATAACAGTTATTTACAGTATCATTTATCCTTTGTGCAATCATAACGTCCTGATCATATAAATGGCAATAATGTAACTGCACGGTCTTTTAGCCCCAAGATTTCTTGGTGAGGTATCATATATAACTATAGATAATTAGATACATAAATATGGTATTCCAGCTGGTATCTATTCAACGTATTCTTACATTCACAATATATATGCTTGTAATAATTCTGGTATATTTTTGAGTATTTAGCAATTGTTTTTCTATCCTCATATATGTCTACTGTGTATAGTGTGCACGGAGCTATAGTCAGATAGTAGACTTAAGCCAGCATCATTGCAGGATTTAGACTGACAGCGTAATGTTCTAGGTCATGTGATGCACTGAATCCTAACACAGCCTAAGCTTAGTTAATTTCATCAAAGTTGATGAAACTGAATTAGCCTGTTGTATATGCACATATCTATATGCAGATCTATATTTGTGCTTATGATGAAATGCAGTAAATTAGGTTTGACAATCAAATTATACAGAACTTGCATTGTTGTTCTCATATTTGTTTTACCTATATTAGTTTAAGAACAGGGAAATAACTAGAATATATATATATATTCTAGTTATTTCCCTGTTCTTAAACTAATATAGGTAAAACAAATATGAGAACAACAATGCAAGTTCTGTATAATTTGATTGTCAAACCTAATTTACTGCATTTCATCATAAGCACAAATATAGATCTGCATATAGATATGTGCATATACAACAGGCTAATTCAGTTTCATCAACTTTGATGAAATTAACTAAGCTTAGGCTGTGTTAGGATTCAGTGCATCACATGACCTAGAACATTACGCTGTCAGTCTAAATCCTGCAATGATGCTGGCTTAAGTCTACTATCTGACTATAGCTCCGTGCACACTATACACAGTAGACATATATGAGGATAGAAAAACAATTGCTAAATACTCAAAAATATACCAGAATTATTACAAGCATATATATTGTGAATGTAAGAATACGTTGAATAGATACCAGCTGGAATACCATATTTATGTATCTAATTATCTATAGTTATATATGATACCTCACCAAGAAATCTTGGGGCTAAAAGACCGTGCAGTTACATTATTGCCATTTATATGATCAGGACGTTATGATTGCACAAAGGATAAATGATACTGTAAATAACTGTTATGTAATTAGCTGATTTGTAGTATTGAGATAGGGTGAAAGATTATTGTGATTTTTGTTCCAGTTTTATACTGAGCACTGTGAGATTGTCTTCTGTAATTTAAAAAGTGTATACTGGTGCTTGTGTTGTTTAGGGTGTAAACATAGAGGGTATATAAACAGGTAAAGGGTATTCTTTTACTAGCATGCTGGCAATCTTATCAGCTGTGCTGCCGATTTCGTTGTGATATGTAGCACATCTCTTGCTCACTTTCATTCAGCTCTCTCCATTGCAGGTTTTAACGGACAAATAATATAGGTCAGGTGCTCAAATCAGATGCCCATACTTTCTTAATTAATAGCCACAGTTTCCTGTCTGTGTATATAGAATTACAATGACAACATATTTACTGTTTTTCATAGTTTAAACTGCTATTGGAAGAATTTTGTGATTTTAGTAACATTATTCTTAGGCGGGAATCGGCTGGTGGTCTTGTGTGATCTTTAGGAAGTGAGTGCAGTGCCATATAGTGAAGATCAAATGGATATGATTTCATTGGCCATTTCTTGTGCTATAGATTGAATGAAAAATAAATGTAAAAATACACTAAATACTTGTGAATTGTTGATGAATTTCATTCAGTGACTGTTATCAAACTCATTCTCGTTGCAAAATTGAAATAATGATCCGAAAATCGATTGGTTGTATATTATTATATGTTGTTACTTTTCATTTTTGAAATTTTCATTATTTATTGGATCGAGAGGAGAGAGAGCAAAATAAAAAATTTAGTATATTTTGATCCTTTTATCGTATTAGCGTTTAGACAACAAATATCCGTACCAATATATTCTACATACTAATTTATTAGCCAGTATCTCGGATACAAAGTGGACGAATGTTAATGGCACCATATGCATCATGCATGTTCATATGGCGTTATGGCTTCAGTGTAGGTTGTATATGTGTCTGTAAATGTTTAATGATCACAATGTAAACGAGTATGCTTGTCGTACGTTTTGTATATTTATCATTTGCAGTTATCTAACTGCGTATTGTATGCATGTACTTACTGTTGTAACGTATGTGATGATAATTACCTAGATAAGTTAATTAAAATTAAAAAAAGGTCAACGAAAAATTACGAGTATGGCTCGATAGATGGCGGTAGTATATCGACATGGAGCCGAACTTGCACAGAAGTTGTTTACAAAATATGTTTGGTCTCCATTTGTGAGATACTACTATAAAAGATTGTTGATAGATCAAAATTAAAAATGGAATAAGATAGGAAAATTAAGACTGACTTTTCATCAATACGTTCTAATAATACAGCTTGCTGTTGTTGACTGTAGATAAATGGTAAATCGGTGTTCAAATAGAAAGATCAAAGGTTAACGTCTAAAGAGCTCGGGGAAGTGCTAGCTCTAGTAACTATAGCCCGCGTACAGTTGCCTCCTGCGGCAACCGTACGCGGGCTAAAGTTACTAGAGCTAGGAAAATGCTAGCTCTAGAATAGCCCTTCGCTCTGCCACAGGCTATAGATAGCCTATAGAGTACCGAAGTGTGACGTCACGTTGGCAAGACAACGTACGGGCTGGTTCTACACAAGCCACTGGCTCCATAGTGTAGCCATAGCGTGAAATGTTGTGCGTACGTAAAACACGAGTGTGTGCGCTGCAGACAGCGGTAAAGCATCGGTAGCAAGTCGAGCTTACAATATTTAATGAATTAAAAAAAAAAATTAAGAAAAAAAAATTTTTTTTTGTTAAATTTTTCTTTTGTTAAAATTTTTTTTTTCTTCGTTGCTTTTCACTTCCATCCTTTGGAAATCTATAAAAACTGCAATAATAACTGCAAACTGCAATATGATCTCAGAATGATGGTTACAATCGGGTACAAAACACGACACGCAGTTAATGTTACCAGAGCATATGATTGTGTAGAACCATGCAGCAGGCTCGTTGTCATGCCACCGTGACGTCATCACTTCGGTACTCTATAGTACAAACTATGTTGAACTGGGCAACGGAACTGCTCCCACTGCTATCCTTGAACCACCTCTTCTTACTTATCTTTTTGAACACTTTGAACTTCACAACTTTACACCATGCATTTATTCCTCAAAGTCTTACTCTTAGCACTACTTGGAAATTCCGTTGAAATGCTCGCGTTGCCGTTGGTACCGTCATCCGAAATGTAGGCAAAAATACAGGGCAGTCCATTACTCGTGCATGGAGGTGAACTGGCGCTTTTCTAATCGTAAACATGTTGCCTGGCAACACGTAATCAGCGCCAGTGCTATACCCACACCCCCATGAGAAATGGGCTGCCTTCGTTTTTTCTGTGATCCGTTCCTCGCGGGAGCATGCCCAGTTTCAACAAAGTTTGTTCCCTGTGGCCTAGCTTTATTACTATAGCCCGCGGATAGCTGCCGCATGTATCCGCTAGCCTGCGGCAGCTATCTGCGGGCTATAGTACTAGAGCTACCTGTGGCCGAGCAAAGGGCTATAGTTCTAGAGGTAGGGAAATGTGTGCCTAGCTGTCTCGGCTGTTGTGGTCCTGTCGGTGTGTTGCACTACCACAAGAACATTACGTATGCATGTTTTCATTGTGTTGGTCACTATTTTTATTTATTTTTCTTACCTAACGTGGATAGTTTAATCTGAATCGAACTTTAAAATGGTGACTGCTCGCTAGTCCGACGGCCCAATGGCAATAGTCCGAAAGCCCACTAGTCCGAAAACCCACTAGTCCGAAAACCCACAGGGGATGGGGTATCGATCTATAGTCTTTCTGTAATCTTGTTAGTAAGAAACCTACAATAAGCTTTTTAATGGGCGACATACTATACGCAGTTTAAAACTGATTGAAAACATTCTGTAATCTCTTTAGCGAGAAACGTACTATATGGATTTAGCATGCACACCACAGCGCATGGCCAAGGTTACTGTTAACGATTGTTATGTTATAAACACAAGAGGAGGGTTGCAAGGAGAGCGACGGTGAGACGTCAGAATGATAGCCATCTCCCCTCACGAGATTTTCTTTCTCTACCTCTCAAGGAGGAACTAGACGGAGAAGCCACGACGTGACGGGTGCTGACGGCTGCGAGGTCTTCTTCTTCCCTGACGAGGGAAACCGAGGGGACGGCGACACAAGGTCGATGGGCTCAGCGGAGATGTCGGGAAGCAAGACGTCGACGACGACAGCGACGACCGACGACACGGAGGAGGTGATGGATGATGAGGAGTTCTGCATCATCAATGACCCAGGACTCGGCATAATCGTGAGTGCTGAGTCTGGCATCGACTTGATAGGCGGTACTCTTTTGTGCGGTTTTGCGGGCCAGAGTTTTTAGCGCTTGGATTCATTGTGAGTACGTCGTCAGCCTGATAAGTGGCGCTCATTTGCAAAGACGCCATAGTACTGAATAACTCAATATTTAGTGATATATATAATTATATATATATTTACTTATATATATCTTATATTTAGTAACAAATTTTTAGTGAATGCAGATTGTAATCTAATGGTTGTGCTACATCTTTGTTGATATTGTGAAGTAACTTTCACCTGTAATGTTGAAACACTGATGGTTATCACAAGGGCTTAGGTTTACATATATTCGTAACTATCTTTAATGCCAGCGAAATGCTTCAGAAAATAATTGTCAACAGTCAGATCATGTGCCTTCAAAACCTGCCCACTGATTATCATTGGAGGCAATTTGTTCCTCTTGCTTCAATACCAGGGTTCCCTTATTTCAGCCAAGAAGTGGAGAACCAGAGATTAGAATTCTTACGCACGAGCCGGTCAAAGTTGTGGACAACCATTTTAAGCTTCCAGAGGGGAAAGCTGACCAACTGAAAGCTCCAGAGCACTTCCCCGTACCAGTGATGAGATACACCCTTCGTGAGATGACTGTCGTTTGGCATATGTATGGAGGGCACGACTTTGAAAAATGTGAGGGTGCCGACTTGAGGAAAGGTAAAGCTAGATGATAGACTACAGGCCTACAGGCTGCTCTCCTTGTTTCGTTAGCAAGGAGTTTTATTTGTGATCGATTATTTAGATCATAGAATACACTGTGACATCTAGAATGTTCTTGACATTTGCTTCGTGTTATATATTAATTATGTGGTTTCTGTAGAATGTAGTCTCATTTATTAATACAGTGGAGTCATTTCTCGCATATGCCAGTATAAAGCAATGGTGATAATATCAGGAGTGTATAATATAGAATACTATATTATACACTCCTGATCATATTACTGCTGTATCATTTCAGATAAGCTTGCACTCGGTACGATGGCATCGCCGGCAAAGTCTCCAGGTGATTTCATGCCCATGGCATCCCCATCTCTGGGTACAATTAGCCGAGAGCGTCCGTACCTGCAGGACTATGCAGGAGTAAAGACGAAAAGGTTGTCATGGGTTCACAGGGGTGGGCCTGGACGTTGCATAGACACATGCATGGAGCTTCAGCTCAGTAAGGTACAGACTTATTGCATGCGCAAATATTAAGAATACATTGTGTTTTATGTGCCGTAACAAATGAAGTTAATGAATTCTAGTACCACGATGATTGGCGATTTCAGTATTGAGGTTTAAGAAGAAGTTTCACACTATCTAATGTAATTATCAATGTGCTGTGGGAAGGTGACTGCAGGCGAGGGCATAAGTTCTCCTTTACTATTGTCAAGTTGGTATTGAATTTGCCTTCTCTAGATTCGCTTCCAGTTTGAGCAGTACCCAGACACAACAGCGCACGCAAGCCGAATAATACTCATGGTGAAGGATGTGGAAATACGTGACCGCCTTCACAGCAGTCAAATAAACAAGTTCCTGTACCAGTACACAAGCGAGGCAAGACCCAAGCAAGCTCATGCCAACATGGTGAGTAGAGCACTACGCAGGTGTACTAGTTGATTGCTACTATACGTGCATCGTGTCATGAGGGAGATAGTCAATAGAATCCATGTCTTACATATTAGAGTCACTGATTCAGTCAGTTTTACTTGTTTTTAACATAGGCTTAGGAGGTTATTTTGTATAGAGTAGATATATGATTGGTTTCAAACACAGCAACAGATGCATGCATACAGAAAAGCCTAATATAAGTGCGTGTTATGAATAGGCAAAATTTTACATAGATGACACATGATTATACTTAGTAAATGATCAGGGCAAAATGGTCAGAATAATAAATAAAAACATTAACATCCATTTTTTGCAATTTATTTTTCAGGTTGTGGTGAAGGCAGTCAACATGCGACCAGAGAAGAATGTAGCAACAGAGGAGTGTTCACTGAAGATCTCTATTCAGCCTCTGCGTCTCAATGTTGATCAGGATGCACTTTTCTTTCTGCGAGATTTCTTCACGGAGATTACAGTAGATACAGGGACTCAACATGAGTCAGGTAGATGGCTTATGCATTAGTGTCATAACGAACCCCTATTATTTCGGAAATTAATGGTTTAACGATCCATAGGCACAATAGAACTTATAATTATATCAGGTAAATACATGTAAAGATGTCCGAATCAGCAAAACAACTCAACTGTACCAACTTATTAGGTTGCAAAGCCTACGAAATATTATATGATTGCTTTAATTTGCAACTGCATATCTATTGTCAATATTTTTTTTACATAAATCCACAAGTCGAACTTCCAATGTCGATAATGCAACAATTACAGCGATGACCGTTATTCACTTCAGGTCCAAAGACTTTGCCCGACCCGCCGGTCATGCTGACCCAGAATGCACCGGAGCAGACGGACGAACCGGAGCAGGAGATGCTGCTTATGTTCGGAGAGGATTCGCAGTTTGCTGAAGAACTTCAACAGAGGCTTTCCGCCGACCATCAGGGAGCAGCCATGGCAGAGGACCTGCCACCTGTCCCTCAGCCGATCTTCTTCAAGTAATTATATGCACAGTGTTTTTGCTCACCGATTCTTCCCTTCCGTTCTGTAACCGACGTTAGTCTGCATGTCAAATGGTACCCGAGCAGCAAGCCTAAAGTAGCGTGCGAAATATGTCATGATTGATATAAAAAGTGGAAATACAAGACGGTCATTCGTAATCTCTGAATTGGGTGTTGTATGCCGTGTTTAAAAAGCATGTGACATGGTTATAAGTGTAATGGCTGTGTTACAGAATATGGTGTCAACTTCTTTTTAGGTCATTCGTGTTTTCCCCGGAAGTTCCCATCAGATTGGACTATCAGGGCAAGAGAGTGGACATGGAACAAGGCACCTTCACTGGACTCATTATTGGCCTGGCTCAGTTCAATTGTACTGAACTGAAACTAAAGAAACTCAGCTATCGCCATGGGTATGCAGCATACATTTCTTCTGACCAGCACTTGGTTCTATCCCCTACTGTTTCCATTACTTTACTGTATTTAAAGGGATATTACACCTTAGAATTTTAGAGTATATTATGATAGTAAGTACATAAATAATAGTATATATCTACAAATTTCTAACTTCTCACTTGTCTTAAAACAACAGTGAATTTCGAAATCTATAATTTAGGCTACTGACATAACACCCCGCGATTGTGCTGCCACCCTGAGAAGTTGCGCTTTTGCCGATTACAGACTGAGGGCTAATCATTTGTCCATATTATAACTGAATCTAAAAGTTGTTTATAAGATATTGCAATCCTTCTCCTCTTAAATTAATAAATAAGAAACGCCCTCGGTCTGTAGCCTGCAGCCGAAAATTTGCAATGCGCAACTTCTAAAGTAGATGGGCTAGTAGTGGCGCCACCCTCGTTGTAAGCAACTATATGGCTGTTAGTTTTAAAACATTAAAAACTAATATTTCTAATGAATATAGAACAATGGAATTTTTTATATAGTATAATTTAACCCTATTTTAACTGAAAATATGCAAGGAACCTAGGGTCAAGTATCCCTTTAAGTAACAACACTATAGAATATTCTTAGTTAGTTTGATTTTTCCATTTTTCAGGCTGCTTGGATTGGACAAACTAGCAGTATATGCAGTCAAGGAATGGCTAGAGGATATAAAGAAGTGCCAAATACCTAACATATTAGGTGGAGTTGGACCCATGTCATCCCTGGTTCAGCTTGGTAAATAGAGTTATAAATACTGAGGAGAAGGACAGAGATGCTAGGTAGTTGTCAGAGAGTTTTAGGGAGGGAAGAAGAACAGTGGATTAAATGTGGGACGAATGGAAGTAACTTCTTGCAAAAGCAACAGTAGGTTTGAAAATATTGTGGCTGAAGGTGATATTGTAGGTTTGAAACGAAAAAGATATAGAATAAAAGGTAAATGGAATGGTGAAATTTTGGGTACGATTGACAAGGAAACTGTGTTAGATAAAATGCAAGACAATGAGCAGGTATCACATTAGTCTTTAACGTGCTTTATCAAATTATATTTATTTTTTGCCATGCAGTGCAAGGAGTCAAGGATCTATTCTGGCTGCCTATAGAGCAGTATAGGAAGGACGGTCGTATTGTGCGAGGGCTGCAGCGAGGAGCCGTGGCCTTCTCCACCACAACAACCATGGCTGTGCTAGAGCTTACCCACAGGACAGTCCAGAGCATTCAGGTGAGGTCTATCATGATATAAGCAGGCTCCCACAACACAGACACAGACTGGTGACTGGATATGGTTGTTGTGCTGTCACTGCTACTGGTGGTAATGTTAATGTATGATAATTATAATAATGAAGGTAAGATGAATAAATGTTAATGGTGACAATGAAAATGTATGTAATTGATGGTAATGTTAATGAATGGTAATAATGTATGTTAATGGTACTAGTGATGCTAAAATTTAAGAATTTTAATGATGGTGGTATTTGTTTTGTTATGTCAGTGGTAGTAATAGTGATGTGATTATTGAATGATAATGATGGTAATGAAAATGTGTTAAAGATGGAAGTGTCAATGAATTGTAGTGATGGTAATGGTAATGGCAAGAGCAGGATCGCTGGTAGTGGAGCATGTCGCTCATAATTGAAATCTCTTTACAGAGTGCAGCTGAGACGGCTTATGATATGATGTCACCAGGTCCCAGTGTAAAACTTCATCACCCAGGGCAACATAAACGACATCCCAATGCTACGCAGCCTGCAGACCTTAGAGAAGGTGCCACTAAAGCCTACTATGTGCTAAAAGAGGTAAGGCGTTTGTATTGTTTTGACACAAATATTGTGCAATACTGTTTGTCAATTGTTTTCCAATACAGTTAAAAGAGTTCTGTTCTTCCATTAGTTGCGAATGTAATTTGGAGTGTTCACATCTGCACTCGTATTTAGGGTCTTCATTATAAAGTTTCACATCTTGTAGTAGTAGACGTATGTTGTAGCAGTATCACACTATCTGTACCATACACTCTTCATATAGTAGACTTAAAATGCAATCAGAGAGCCTCTTTTCCCAACTCTGTGAACATTCTGTGTTTATCTTTGTGTATTAAATGCATCATTCAGTCAGTAGACTGCTAGACCACGTATCTCTTGGCTGATGCTGTTCACATTCACCAACGGCATCTTGCAGGGTATTGGAGAGACGACCAAGAATCTAGTTCAGGTGGCGACCGAGGAGCATGAGCACAAGGGCGTGTACGGTGCGGTGGGCGGGGTTCTCAGACAGATACCGGGCACCGTCGTAAAACCTGTGATCTTTGCGAGTGAAGCCACGTCAAACGTGTTGGGAGGCATGCGCAACCAGCTGCAACCAGACGCTAGGAAGGAGGCCGTCGAAAAGTGGAAGAAGGACTATGAGTGATTGTATATTTTTCCATTATCATTGCGCACCTCGATGTGAAAAAGCCATTATTTAGCGGCAGCAGTGCCACCCTTGCTTTCAGTTTAGCAAACTTGTTTTGTACATAAGAATTGTCCTTGTAGATGAGTGCAGTACATCGTGATCTGCTAAAATATCTTAATAGTCTCATGTAATGAGAATAAGAAAGTATTGCATAAAGTTGTCAATTATAGAACTCAGTGGACAAAATTATATTATATATGTATATATATATATATA